CCCATGTTGGGTGGTGCTATCCTAGGACTGGTTGGTGGTCCTGGATTCTATAAAAAGCAGGCTGAACAAGCCAATAAGCAGCACTCCTCCATGGCCTCTCCATCAGCTCCTGCCTCTAGGTTCCTGACTTGTTCGAGCTCCTGTGCAGATTTCTTCCAATGATGGACACGGACATAGGAGTGTAAGCCAAATAATCCCTTTCCTCCCGACTTGCTTTTTGTCATGGTTTCATCACAGCAATTGAAACCCTAAGAAGGACAGCTGCCTAGGTGGTTAGGAAGGTGAGGGTGCTTGCTACCAAGCATGATGATATGAGTTTGATCTCCAAGCCCAAGTGGTGGAAGGAGAAAACTGGCTCACAGGAGTGGTCTCTCTGGCTCTCCACACTGGCACATGTACCCCCCACAGTTAATTAAATGTATTTTTAAGTAGTCATGCTGTTGAAAATTATCTTTCCAAGTATCTGAATGTTGAAAATACATTTCTTTGGGGGAACAATATACATGTAACAGGAATCTATTGTCACTTATATGTGACACATAAATGGCATAAGAGAAATAGATGGTGCACACCTATTTCTGACATCAAGAATAATTCAGAGTGAACAACAAAAGCATCTATTTGACTTGGAGTGGACTTATTCCAACAATGGTTTCACTAGAGGATTTTTATTGTTATTGTATTGTTTTGTTTGTTATTTTTTGCCACTCTCTCAGAGTGAAATTGTTAATGTGCTTCCTCCACTGAAGAAGTAAATATAGATGTTTGAGACGGTATCTTTCATTTGTTTTATTTTTAAAAGCATTTAATTGGAGTCTTATTTACAGTTTCAGAGGATAAATCTATGACCATCATGATGAGGAGTGAGGAAGCAGGAAAGCAAGCATCATGCTAGAGCAGTAGCTAAGAGCTTATATCCTGAACTATAGTGTGCAAACAAAGGGTATCTTTCATTTTTGTAACAGAAAAAGAGGTGTACAAGGTTCACCCTGGAACTTGACTCCACCCTGTGATGCACCTGCAACCCTCTGCTCCTAGACAGCTCCTCAAACACACTGGTGCGATAAAACTCCTCCAAGCCATTAGTCACACTCTGAGGTAAAACCTGTGTGGGAGTTCCTAGACTCCACAGCCCACTTCTGATAATTGAGCCTCACACACAGACAAGCCATTTGCTTTTCTCTTCCAATGTGCAGTATTTTAGTTGATAGACCAACAAAGACCAACATCTACTACTCTGGCTAGCTAGAGTATCTTTGAACATATTTCTTGTTTTGATTTGAGTGCATGGTGCAGTTAATGAGGAAGGACATTCAAACCATGATCTCAGTCTCCTCAGCAAGTCCCCATCCTGTCTGGTAGAAAAGTCACAGTGCTTTGCTTCCTACATAGCTTTGTCCATGGTGTAGTCCCAGCCCTCCCTGGTCTCCTGCTCTGCCTCTTTCTCATAAACATGCTATGCTTCAGTCTTTCATCCACAAGTTCAAGTTATTTTTGTTTGTTTGTTTTTTTTACATTGTTATTTTTCAAAATGAGTTTTCCACTCTCTAAAGGAAACCCTTCTGGATCTCGGTCAATGTTGTCAGGACTGACTTAACCCTGGTCCCTCTCAGGAACTGCTTGCAGGCCCTGGAGTGCACCAATGGCCAATACATCAAACACCACTCAACCGGTATGTTCTCCATCACCTGTCCCTATGCTGACTGGCTTTTCTGCACTCAGTGGCTTGTCTTCAGGAGAAGGCCACTCTCCCAGACTTCCCATCACTCACTCCAGAAACGTCATTGGCAAGCAGAAGAGGAGATGACTTACTCTTACACACTTACATCTTGAAATTCTTACTTTAAAATATTCAGTTCATGAGAACTGTTAGAGAAAAGAAACGTAGGTTGTTCTGAAAACAAAGAATGAGATACCATCTATTTATTATAGGATCAGATTTAAGCATGGTTGTCTTAACTTTAAGTAAACATCACAGGAGTAGTTTTTGAGATGTGATTTAGCTACATCTGCATGATAATGAAGTTAAAAATAACTGAAACTTTGCTTCTTTTCCTTGTTGGCTAAGTGCAGCCTTTTAATTTCACTTACTATGTTTTCTCTCTCTCTCTCCCATCTGTAGTTCCTCTTCAGATTGAATCTACAGCTTACAGTGAGGGACAAGCTACTCTTTTAAACCACCACTAAAATGTGTGCTTCTGGAGTCAAATTAGCAATGCAGCATGGAAGAGAGGGGGAGGGAGAGGGAAGGGAGGTAGGTGTAGGCCTTATGGAAAGGAATGCTTATTTTCTAATAAATATGGTTATGGAGTCTATACATCAACAGTCTAATATACCATGTTAGAAAAATACCATAACACAGAATCTTTACGATACAAGCTAAACATACAAGATAAACATGATAAGGAGATAGTGGGGGACAGCAAATGGGTTATAGAAGCCTTTGGAATCACTTGTGCCATTTTTGACAGTCTTTATGTTGTTTCATGCTGGTAGGCACTCCAAGGCCCAAGTGTTCCCCTTGCTTCAGGCTATGGAATGGGATAATGTACAGGCATTTGACACTGTGCCTGGTTTGGGTATTTAATTTCCATTTGCATCTGGTATTTCCTACTATGCCCATACATACTGATATAAAATGATCCAGGGTGCCTACAATGTCCACATGTATTTGTTCATTCTGTATGAGATACTGTGGCAGAGGGAGCCAATGCATAAGTAGAGAGAGCTTCCCCGTGGACCCATTAGTACACAATATTTTATTGAAATTATGTTTGGAGAAAAATTTTGACATTAGTCAAAATTTCAATAAACCCAAAGTATGAGAATGTACTCAAAAAGATCCGTTAAACCGTCACCTGGCATTCCCACGTAAACCAGTTGTCAAACTGGACCTGATTTCTTATATATAGTCTTACAGAAGCTTATTTAAATATGCAAAATTAGGATAGCTAAACCTTACTAAACTGTGAAAGGAATGAACTGCCCTTTGCGTTTTTGCAGCTTCCTGTTTGAAAAATCCCCACTTCTTTAGTGTTCCCAGCACCCACAGTTCCTCTGATGGGAAAATAAGTTCTTCTGAGCCCTCCTTTCCGTTTCATCGGGTATTTGTTTAGAATTCAGAACATATTCTAAGGTTCTTTCCAATGTGCACTGGCCTGGGGATGCAGGAGAGGTGAGAATGACATGTTGACCGCCAAGTGTGCAAACGCTGGCTGCCAGAGAGCTGGTTGGCATCCTCTCGTCTTGTGGTCTTGGCTCAGGTGAGGACCAAAGCAGGGTGCAAGAGCTGTCCAGACCTCAGAGTCTGATGTTTGCCCCTGCCATCCTCTGTAGGACCGGAAACCAGGCGACCCCAGGTTTTCCCTGCATGTGTCTGCCTTTCCTTTCTTGGAACTCCTAGAGTCAACACTAAGGGGCACCAGAGCCTTGGACTGCAGTGCCAGCCTGGAGGACGCTGCGGAAGTCCCGGCGCAGAGGAGCCCACCCAGTTGGCCTGGGCAGCAGGCACAGTATGCGGGTGCCCTAGGGTCCTCGGGGGTCCTCTGGAGAAATGAGGCTCCTCAAGCATAAAGCCGGTGGGGCGCACTGTACTGGAGGTGCTTCCCCAGGGCTGGAGAGCCCTTTTGTTGCTTCTTACTTTGGAGGAGGAAGCATGGTCAGACATGGAGTGTAGTGTGGTCATAGCTGCAGCGCACAGGCAGTGCTGAGGAACAGCACCATGCAGGCAGACACACAGACACGAGCACCCCGCGTCCTTTCCGACCCATAAAACCGATTTAGGACACACGCAAACGCGGCGGAGCTGTCTAGGGACCCGAAGAACGTTTAGGCTGAGCCTGCAAAGTCACCTCGTCACTCCTCTAGTCAACCTACTCTTTCTGTAGACTGTCTAGCGAGGGAAATTATGCCCAGCCCCTGGTCCCCAACAGGGACCTCTTAGTCGCCCTCCCGTGGCTTGGACTTGTCCCCTGGACTGCGGGGTAGGGAGAAGCTGGAGACCCTGGACAGCAGCGTTGGCCACTCAGCCTGCGTCCTGACTCCGAAATAAAAAGTGGGGAGGGTCGGCAAGCCCAGGGCAAGAGCCTCGGTGCCCAGGGCCCGGAGGGGGCGGCGGACAGCT